TTGGTGCTCTCGTTGAGAGTCAGAACAGATCAAGTGACTACCCTTCATCGCTACCAGGCGCAACTAACCAAAATGGGAAGAACCAAGTCCAAGAACCCCGTCGGCAAAATTGTCCCCAAAACCCATGAGAATCAGGAGGGGTCAGGAAATGACGTTGACAACAACTTCGTTGTTGGGGAAGAGATCATCTAGGAAAACGAGAATCATGTTGATGACCTTCGCAACCAACTCAACAAGAATGCTCAGGGCGCCCGCATCGGGCTCGAGAACAAGCGCACTACTGACCGTGCTTCGGGCCAACAGGCTACAACGAACCCCATCATGGCATACGACGGCCGCATCGACCCTCATGAGCACTTCACTCACTATCAGAATAACATGATGATGGTTAACACCTCAGACGAGTACCTTTGCTGATGGTTCCTCTCCAGTCTGGAGGGACTAGCTTATGACTGGTTCAACGCGCTCCCAGAGAGTAGTGTGGACTCATGGCAGGACCTTGCGCAACGCTTCCTCACCCACTTTGCCGGAAGGAACTGCGCAAAGAAATAGCACGCGGACGCTGATGAGGTGCTTACTCGCAAGAAGGGCGGAGAAAGGCCACCAAAGAAGATAAATAACGCGTCGGCTCACAGCGCTCTGCCGCCAAAAGAACAAAATCCGCGAAGGCAAGCACGCCTGGAATCTAGGGGACAACGACAAGACAACCGCCCGTGGCATCCAAGATTGGAGGTACAACGGACCCCCCTCACCCACCCGGTAAGCGTCATCCTTGATTACGCGGAGGAGACCAGCCTCATCACCAAGGATCCAAGGTCGGAGAAGGAGGTCTTTGCCATCCACAAGGGTGGGACGTATTGCAAATATCACCGGAATACGTCCCACAACACAGATGACTGCGTCACCTTGAAGAAGCACATCGAGCACCTCATCCAGCACGGGGAACTCTCCCAATTTGTTAAAGGTGCCCCAAGGAAAAATACATAGGTTAACACCAGCAAAGGGGGGGGGGATCCTCCACCAAGAAGAGGGAGATCGGTAACCTCAGCGATGAGGATGAATACGAGGAGCCCCGGCCAAAGAAGCATCATATTCACCTCATCATCGGGGGAAACACGGGGGGGGGGACTCGGCTACCCAATGAAAAAATGGGCTCAATCCCTTTACGTTGGCGAGGTGCTCCCCCTCAGCCGAAGCGGCAGCACGTCGAGGCGATCACATTCACCGACAGGGACCTGCCCCTCGGCCCTTTCCCTTAAGTATAAAATAAGCCATCTAACAATTGAGCAAGATAATTTTCTCTCTCATATGTAGTGCTTTTAGGTATAATAAGGAGATAAGAAAATAAGCTTTCTAACAATTGAGCGGAAAGCTTTCTCTATCATATGTAGTGCTTTTACTTATTAGAAGTTAAGCTTGTTAACAATTGAGCATGAGAATTGAGCGGGATAGTTTTTTATCTCATATGTAGTGTTGTTAGGTATTAGAAGATAAGCTGTCTAACCAGATAAATTTCTCTCACATATGTAGTTCTTTTAAATATACAATAAGTCAGCTAACAATTGAGATGAATACATTTCTCTCTCATAAGTAATTCATTGAAGTATAAGATAATTCGGCTAACAATTGAACCGAGAAATTTTCTATTTCATATGTAATGATTTTAGGTAAGATAAGCTGTCTAAATTTTTTCACACTTTCATGCCTTTGGTGGTCAACTCTTGAGTTGACCGCCTTTCTACAATGCGAGGTGTTTCTCCACCGCCTCACGTTCAGGCACGCTTAGGCCCCGCCTTTTAGAACACTGATTCTAAGTATAAGATAAGCCGACTGACAATTGAGCGTAAAAATTTTCTCTCTCGTATGTAATGCTTTTAGATGTTATTATTATAGGAGAAAAACTTGCTAACAATTGAGAGAGAGAATTTTCTTTCTTTGAAGTGGTTCTTCTAAGTATGAGATGAGATAAGTCATCCAACAATTGAACGGAAGAATTTTTTCGCGTAATGATTATAGGTATAAGATAAACCGACTAACACTTGATCGGGAAAATTTTCTTTCTTATATATAGTGGTTTTAGGTATAATAAAGAGATAAACTTGCTAATAATTGAACGAGATAAATTTCTCTATCATATGTATTTCTTTTAAGTATATAATAAACCGGGTAACAATATAATTGAGTAGAATAATTTTCTCTCTCACTTGTTAGCACTAAGTTAACTAATGATTAACAAGTTCTTTTTTAACTAATATTCGTTAATTTTAATAATTGAACAAGATAAATTTTTCTATCATATATATTCACTTAAACTTTATGTCATTCACTTATTGTACTCACTTTCTTAGAATAGTATTTTATTTTAAAATTAATTTAATCATGAAAATAAATAGGTAGCAAAGGGGAATGAATGGTGTCAATTAGTTTTCCACAACATACTCTTCATTGAATATTTATTGTATGATATTGGTTTAGTGTACACTTGTTTTTCGAAAATGTAGAATCCTAAAAAGTTAATCTTATTTTAATATTTAATTAGATTATGAGTAAAAGTATATGCACCAACTCCTATTTCCCGTGCTGATGCACATATACTATACTAGTTTCACTTAAGAGTATATGGGATTGTTTGGCATTCGGCGGTTAGGAAATTATATTAGCAGGTAGTAAATAGCGAATTTGATCAACAGATTTGACCAGCGGATTAGTTTGACGGATTGTAAAAAGATGTTTGGTAAATAACCGTTTCATTGTAGCGGTTAGTAGATAAAAAGACAAAAGGGGGCAGTATACAATTTAAGCATGTGTTTTTTTGTTTAATGTTTACTCCGTAATATACTACGTACGAGTTAGGGCTACTAATTTATACTACATAATAAATGTTAGTTAGTAAATTTAACTGGTCTTCTCACTGGTCTTCTCATAATAATCCCACCTTTAAATAATCCCAAAATAATCCCACCTTTACACTTTATCTTCTTTCATTGGACCCTGACCATGTTTTTTACTCTTTATTTGAAAATTATACAAATAATCTCACCTTTCACTTTTTAATTATATCCATATAAATGTGAGATTATTTATATAAGATTTTAAAAAAGGGTAAAAAAAACTTGGTCATGGTCCAATCAAAGAAGATGAGGTGCAAAGGTGAGATTATTTTGGGATTATTTAAAGGTGAGATTATTATGAGAAGACCAGTGAAAGGTGTGATTATTCTTATTAATTTTTCCAATTTAAAACCCACTACATAAGAATATGATAATAAAAATTACCTTACGAAAGGTGAGCCCCTGTTTCTCAAAAGTTGAAATCAAAATAGAGAAATTAAAAAGTAATCGATTTAATCACTGTCCATCATAAAAACAAATCAAATTAATAACTGTCCATCATTATTTTTATGACTGAAGAAAAATACTGTAGATATATCCGTCTCGCACAAAAGAGATACGGAGTACAGAGTATTAGAGAAGCCACAAAACGAATGGAACGGAAGGCTTCAAGCGACTACAACGAAACAGATCGAATAAGAAGAAGAGGGCAACTTGTGGAATTTAATAATTGTTTCAATGCGTCAAAATCAAAATGCTCCAATATACAGCGTTTTTCGTTTTTTGCGGTTTCGTCCCAAACGCTGCCGCTATCCTCCGTTTGTCAAACGCAAAAAAAAAAAACAGCGGTGTCAGTTATTTTTTTTTTGTAATTCTTAATTTAGACATAAGAATTTACAATTCATAATGTCAATTGCCAAAACCTTCATTTTAATTGTGATTTTTTAAAATTTAAGCTTAAATGCAAGTTATTTGTTTATTCAGCACGCTTCTCTCAGGCTCTCTCAGCGCCGCTAGGGTAGTTTTTTTAGGTTTCCGTCTTCGGCTCGGACGAAGGACGATGTCGGTTAGCATTGAGGAGCACGTCTGGTGTCGCAGCGGAGGGTGCAGCGGGAGGCGTCAATCTCGGTGATCTTCCTCGGCTGGTTCGAGCGGGGCTTGGAACGAATGGAAGAGGTAGTGCATCAGTACAAAAGGATGGCCATAGGGGATGATAACAACAACCTGAATTTTGATGATGAGGAGGATGAAGACCTTGATTAAACCGCAGAGGGGGCTGATTTTTCAGTGGTGGGAGTGATTCTCACGGATCGGAAGATCAGGGTTCAAGCCGTGAAGGATCTCTTTGCTTCAATCTGGCGTCCAGGCAAAGGAATGTCAGTCCAAGAGATAGACGACAAGATGTATTTATTTACTTTTGATCATATATTGGATATGATCGTGTTCTGGAAGATGGTCCCTGGTTGTTTGAGAGGACTTTATTACTGCTTAAGGTGGTTGGCCCAAATGATATTCCCCATAGGATGAATTTGTTTGAAGCAGAGTTCTGGGTGCAAGTGCACAATGTTCCCTATAGTTTCATGAATTTAGGTACTGCTAGAAGGGTAAAAAACTATATTGGGGAATTTATTAGGTTAGATGAGAGCCATTAATTTTGAGGAAAAGTGAAACTCTTATTTGAGGGTTAGGGTGAGGATGGATGTGAGGGAGCCTTTGAAGAACGGTTCTACTCTTTCGAGAGGAAGTGTGGGACACTGGGTGGATTTCAAATACAAAATGTTACCTAACTTCTGTTTCATTTGTGTGGTGATTGGACACTCTGAGAAATTATGTCCTTTGAAATATGAGGAAGATATAGCTTTGAAAAAAAAAACTTTGGGGTTGAGCTTCAAGCAGGTGGGGGGGGGGGGGAGATTAGCCCTACAAGGGGTAATAAATGGCTGGTGGAAAAACAGGCGGGTCCAAGACAACAGAGGAGGATTTATCAAGAAGATGAAGGCACTGAGGGACAGGGACGAAGAGTGGGTACAGCTGGTACAGAAAATAGTGGTACAAAGGAATAAGGTAGAGAAAGCATTGGGGAAGTATCAGTTGATCAGAAACGCAGAAGGATATGGGAGGAACAGACAAAGGAGGACATAGAAGGAGTGGAGATGGCCCTGGATAAAGCAAAAAATGGGGAGGCGGCGGGTCCGAGCTCTTAGACCCCGCTCGTCATGCGTGTGGTGCTGCTGCTAAAAAAGAATAATTTTGGCTTTTATTTTATTGTTGTTTTGCATTTTAATTTCCACGTTGAGACTGTTGTTTTTTGTTTTTATTTTATTTGGTTCTGTAAGACTTTTGCATCAGGATTGGGTGATGAGAGTTCTGCGGTAACCGTCAATAGCTCAATTATGCCCATTTTAAGATCAGCTAGTTATATTGTTTTGTCAAATGTGATTAACTCAGAGTCTGACCCAAGAACGCATAGTTATTTGTGGTGCTTTTGTTATTTTAGCCCCTTTCTAAATGCTGTGATTTTAATCTAAGTCCCCTTCTTCCCAAAAAAATGTCAATTGTCAAACATAATATTATCCCTCGTTCTTTAATTCTTGCAACAGTTTGACTTTCATGTTTGCCGATACACAACTTTGATTGTAATTATATTTAATTATGTTTTACTCCGTAGTAAACATTATAAAAAGTTGATATTTTTGAAATTCAAATTTGATAGGAATTCAATAACATTTTATACGTAATAATTCGATTATGTAATTAGTAGAAAATCGTGATCAAAGTAAGGTCTGTGAATAATGCAAAAAACACAAGAATTAAAATTGGGGGTATAATTAAAGTTGCAAGAATTAAAAAACGGGGAAGTATGTCCGCATGGTTTTAAAATTGGGGGTAGAATTGTCTTAGTATTTCTATAAATACACTATAACGATCATAGTGCGATTTTTTTATATAAAATGTTATATAAATGATGTAAACATTTTGCATCCCATATTTTCATTTTAAATGAAACCAAATATTTGGTATAAAACAATACTTATAATTGAAAAGTACGCCATTGTTGAAATATTATTGAATTAGTCATCTTCCAACTATTCCTGATTAGGAATTATTATCACCATTATATAAATAATCAGGAAATCATAATTATGATTCTAGATGATAATTGTGTGGTACACAATTATCTTCTAATCCTAAGGAGTTTAGTTTTTCTCCTGTAAATAGGAGTGTTCTCCTTCATTGTAAAGACACTTCTTAAACACCATTACAACACTATTATCACACTCTCAATAACATAATCTATCACTAAGTGTTCATACTATACTTTCTCTCCGTGATCTTCTGCTTATTTCCTTCCATTTTATAACACGTTATCAGCACGAGTTTGCTCCAAAATCCCTGAAATCATCATCTTCCAGCAGGTATATTATTTCACGAATTTATCAACTTATCTGGAAAAACAAAAATCAGAGGTTGAGAAGTATGAACATGTTTATATATATTCAAAACTATAAGAAGTATGCTTTATGGTTGCCCAACAATTGGGATCCTCCATATCAGAAAATTATAGCCATATTTTCTATTTATAAACAAGATGAAGATTGACATACCTTAACTTCGAACGATATTCTTTTTATCTTCTCAAATAAAATTTTTAATTTTCTCTCTGCAGAATGAAATAGATAAGTATAAAGTCAGATTGAAATATACGTATTTTTGTATGAGATATGAGAATTAAAATTAATACATGGAGTATACACACATATCTCAACTAATAAGAGAGATAGAGTACACGGATTGGGCGAGTTTGGCACGGACTGTAACTTATTTTTGGCACAGCGCCGTGCCAAATATCTGGTGACAAAACGACTTTGGCACGGAATTTGGCACGGATTTAACGCATCCGTGCCAAATCTGTGCCAAATACCCCACGAATTTTGATAAATCCGTGCCAAAGCTCCGTGCCAAATTCGTGCCAAAATTGTTGTTTTTTTGTAGTGGTAATTACTTATCTGCTAAATTGCTCTTTGTATTTATGAGCCCCAAAGACCATATATTTTATGAGCATGAGAGACTATGAGCATACGAAATATAAAAGAAAATGTAATACTGATAAAGAAAGAGAAGAGATGATGGATATTAAACGAAAGAGTAGAAGTGGTTAATCTGCGAAAAAAAGGATAAACTTACGGATTTGTGAAAACCCACTGGAAGAGAGCTTGAAATTTTTAAATAAAACTCTCAGCTCCCTGCATACGAAAGAGCTATCACCATTCACCAGTATGAAGAAGAATAGTCAATATTTTAAAGGCATGAAGAAACAATAAATTTAATGCCATACATGACATTTACAATCTGGGAACTGAACAAACAATAATACGTAGTAGTACGTAGCTAAAAGACAACTTCTACACCTAACTAATTATTTATTGGCAAACCACGTATGGTTGTGTTTATACTTCGTATATACTGTATATATATACACAATAAATATATATGTGTATGATCGACACTCAGTTATATTATCTTTTAAAAACAGTTTGTTTTTCTGCTTGAAAAAAGGATTTATATAATTTATGCGTAGTATATATTCATGCATGCGTACCGTCAAATATTCTTTCATTAGTACCAAGTATTTCAGTTCTGTAAATTAAAGGAACGGTAAGAACGGTAGAAAAAGAACTACTCCGTATATTTTGTGGTAATCATAGCTCAAACAAGTGAGACTGAACGAATTTATCCTCATACAGATATTATCTATCCTGACCGAATGTATACCAACCATAGGATTTATCCAAATACGATTCCAATGACATTCACAAGCGTCTGATCAAGGATCCATATCTCTGCTAGGCATTATCACATACATAGTATGTTGTCTAAATGCATGCATTATTGTGCAGTGGTCAGAGTTTGTCTTTTAACATGCATTTGTTTTAAGAGACAATATATTATAATAATAATTGGTATCTACTACCTAAACAATGTATAGTACTCCAAGATGATGTATGTACTGTGATGGGAATCTACTTTGTCATCTCATAAGAAATTAACAATTTTCTTATCTAATCAAATACAGTACGAAGTATCATATTTTTTCCATATCTAAATTATGTATAAATTTATAAGCGGGTATATTATGACTTTTTGATCACTTACTCAAACTTATCCGTATTGCAGCAGTAGTAATTATATTATACGAAGTACTAAATTGAGTTATCACTTATCAGTTTATATAATACGGAGTACGTACTACGTACCATATACTATGTATGTATTTGTACTGACTACTCATAACTAAGCAACTAGTGATTTTGGACTTGTTTTAACATTATGGATGTTTATTATTAGTACTCCCTTATTTGGCTTTCATTCAAGTAAAGTGAATCCAAAAGCAAAATGATTGTTCCCATCTATTTAAATGTCCTTATGACTATCTATATCCAGTGGCGGACCCACTAAGGGTCCCATGGGGTCCCGGGACCCCGTGTACGTTCGAAAAAATTACTATATATATTATATAAATTTTATATAAAATTTACTAAGGAATGTATAAATACACAAAAAGCATGTATGAAAATAAAAGAACGAAGTGGACGGATGGTAGTGTTGCGGATCTAAGAGCTTTCTTTACCCGGAGGTACAGGGTTCAATTCTCAAGTTCCCCATTTTTGAATGTATTTTTGTGAAAGTTCTCCATTTTTGTTTTTTTGAATGTATTTTTGTGAAAGATCATTATTTTGAAGTTTACATTTTAAATAATTAAAAATTTTGGATTAATTATTGAAATTGGTTTGATTGTTAAAATTAATTATTAAATGTATGATATTTATAAATAACTTTGCGATTTAGGATGAAAACATATTTCGATATTGTATCTGGATTTAAAGAAATTTGGAGCACCGGGAGTAAATCAAACGTTAATTCAAATGATTCGTCATTATTAAATGAAAAAATGGATCAAATAATTGTTAAATGTGAAATTCATATGACTAACATGTTGAAACCTAAGAAGGTACATTTGTAGAATTGTAGAGCGAAATATATACTTCATATGTAATTTTATTTTGTGTGTTATGACTATCTTAAAATTTTCATAATGTACGTTAATTATGAAACATTATGCTACTTTAGAGCCTGTTTGATAATACTCGAATAGGCTATATTGACTGATACTACTGAAATTTATGAAGTTACGGCTAAAGTGACTGAATTGGTTGATTCTACTTATTTATGAAAAAAATATTTAAAATATATTTTATTAATAAAGTAAAGAAAAAATTATAGTATCGCCAATACAAACCAATATAACTGAAATATACTATGAAGCGACTGTATTGGTTAAAGTTTGAAAGATAGTTTAAATGATTTTATACAGTAACTTCAATCAATACAGCCATAAAAGTAACTCTAAACTTATGTTTTCTTATTATTACACAATTCAACGCACGAAATCAAAAGTTACGTGTTTGGTAAATAAATTAGCTGATAAACCTAATAAGCCGGGAAAAAATCGCCTAACGGGCTCTTATTAATTAGAGTTACATTAGAGTAGGGACCCCGTGATCCCGATTTTCTGGGTCCGCCACTGTCTATATCAAAACAATCTATCTACTAAAAATCATAAACATAAGTTTTGTACTTTAAGGACTTTTGATTATCGAGTTGCAAGGTCTCTGATTGTTAAGATGGTCCCCTTAACAATTGGTATGACAGTAACTTGAACCAAACGGTCATTATGTACGTTTATGTCAGTAACCCCTCATGACGACACTCATGATTGTTTTTAATCTCAAATGATGAGGTAGAAATTAATAAGAAGTAAATTAAATATGTGAGCTAAATTACTTCTCTTATTAAAAGTCATAATAAATTACCTTACTTTATTTTCTCCTTGTTATGTAACATGGAGTATATTTCAAAAATAAAAACTTAAAGTGCTTGTTTTTTAACGTGAAAGTTATGCAGTTCTAAATGTACTATTGAATAAAGTACAATTTATATACAATATTGAACTAATATTTGTTCATTTTTATCTTTGCGAAGATATGGAGTTAACTGAAATTTCTCCAAGTGGTTTTGAACAATGTCTAATAGACAGTGACACAACGCACACCATTTTGAGACATAGAGATTATTTTTCTCATATGACATTAGTTGATTCTAATGTCAATACAATCTCAGGTGTTGCTAAACTCATTGAAGGTTCTGGAATAGCCCGTGAGATTCTCCCAAAAAGGACAAAATTAACGCTTTATACTCCAGTAAATCACGGAGAAATCTTTTGAGCTTTAAAGATATGCGTCTGAATGGTTTTCATATTGAAACCATGTCTGAAAACCAGAAGGAATATTTATGTCTAACGACAAATAGATCTGGCAATAAATACATTTCTGAAAAAATGCCAGCATATTCCTCGGGACTGTATTATACATATATCAGTCCAATTGAGATAAATGTGGTATCTAAAATTTATGACCACAATTCTTTTATTTTGTGGCATGACCGTTTAGGTCATCCAGACAGCACTATGATGCACA